GCTGCTGAACTTGAGCAGAACTGAAGCTGCTTCACTATAGCCTCACTGGATGAAATGCAGTTTTAATGAGGCCCTATAAAAGCAGGAAGTTTTAGATCCTCAACATTTTTCATTCCTTTCCAGTCATTTCTTTCCTCTCTGGCCGTGTTGGCTCTCATATCACCCCTGCTGACTGCCGTTGTCAAGTCTTCATTATATACAAACAGCTCTTAGCGATCAAACGTGTTCCATCAAATGATCTCCGTCACATTATGATGTTCACAGGGGAAATGTTTCAGTCGCTTTATGAAGCTGGTTATTTCCTTTCATGTACCATTTAAACCCTTCCTTTTCTAGATCAATACAAATGACGGGTTATGTTCATGACAAGAAGAATTTCCCTCAGTGCAGGCCATCACAAGACATTTTTATCATCAACCAGCGAAAGGGACTGACTAATGAATGAATCTGCTCATGTTTGCTTTTTAGAAAAGAAAGACTGATTGGCTTATTAATGAACGTTTGAACCTGCCTCATCAGTTCTCCTTTTGTGTGTGTATGAGGTGATTTGGTATGCAGAATGATAACTGAATTTTGTTTTTTGGTTTTATGCCAAAGTAAGTACTGCAGTTAATTAAATAAAAAAGTGCATCATTCAGCACCAGAAGATTTGTTGAATAGAGTTTAAAATCATTATAAAATCTAAAAATCACATACATATGCATCATCACAACTACTTGATATGAGACCTGTCGTGATAATTACGTTATCAACTTATTCTACAATACATAGACATGACCTTGATCATTTGGCTGATCTTGATATTGCCCATTGTGTTCACGTGCTTGTTTTTTTTTTTTTTTTTTTTTTTTTTTAAACATAAGAACATCACCAGCAACTAACATAACATAACGTCAGAATAAACAGCAGGGTTTTCCAACCATTATAGAGCCCAGTTCAGACCAAAGATTGGCAACAAGATAAAACCGTTTTAGAATGTGGCAGAGAGAAGTTTACGCAGTGTGAACTGGCCGGTCTGAGCTCGACTCAAGCCGGCTTATGGTGTCACAGGCAACTCAGGCGCTAAAATTGCTGGAGGTTGGTTTTAGAATGTAAGGCACGTCACCTGTTTCAACAGGCAATCAGCTTGTGGTGAAGTTTGCTAGTCAAGTGAAAATGGCCGCACAGCGTGTTCGCTTGCTGCGGCAGGTGCTCCTTCCCTGCCAAGCCCTCTGTTTCCGTCGCTGCTGCTGCTCATCTGATGCTTGTTTTGTTTCTGTTTTTCACCGGTTCATCACTACTACAGATGCAGCTGTAGCCAGTACCTCACTATCACTATCCTCATTCATATTTTAAGTAGCTACAAATTATATTCAGCCACAAAATATGCCTGAGAAACTGCAAATCAGAACAGAAGTACAGAGAGTTGTTGCATAGAGATGATACACCGTCTCATCTAGTTGCATTGGTGTGAACCGGCAGGTTTGTCAAACGTTGCAGAACTGTGCATTGCAAGTAGTTGGCTGTTTCAACTCATCGTGAATCCTTGGTCTGAACTGGGCTTCAGACTTCAACGCAGTGATTCTCCCTTTTTTCTATTCTCTCCAAAAAGAAATGAAACACTTATAAATGACACAGCGTACCTTATCTGTAGCTGCACTTGTAGAGGGGAAGAGTCACTGCTGACAAGCCAAAAAGACAGTCATTTGTAGTTTTACCTGCCAACAATTAGGGCTGCTCGATTATGGAAAAAATAATAATCACGATTATTTTGGTCAAAATTGAAATCTCAATTATGCAAATGATTATGCGGCGCACATTGTTTACGCAACAGGATGTCATTTCTGTCTCTACATGTGCGTTTAAAATTCTCCTCAGCTCTCTGTATCGCGCACGATCTTCCGCGATCACCTGCCCCTCATATTACTCATAGTTCACCTATTTGACTGGCTCGTGGAGTGAATGGAGGGTGAGGTATTGCGCATGCGCAGCTCCCAGGTACATTTGATTTGCAACACAAGACAACGAGAGTAAACTGACAAGAAGCACGTAATCGTTTAGATTATTTTGTTTTCATAATCGTTGAAAGCCCAAATCGTAATCTAGATTAAAATTCGATTAATCGAGCAGCCCTACCAACAGTGTTATTCTGCACTCTGTAAATCCACAATCAAACCACCTGTCCATTCCCTGCAGCGCACTGTAGCACTGCATTCAGATTCTGGAGCTAACAGTAGCGTTCAGAGTTACGCTGAGGACATCTATTAGTTGCAAGAGTTTGGTTTTGGCTTTTGTTGGCCATATTTTGTACGGAGTCTCAAACTGAGTGATTCTGGGCTACTCCTTTAAATGTCCTATAATTTTATATAACCTTTCTTCTTATATATATTAACAGATGTTAATTACTTTTTTGAAATGTTTTCA